TCAAAATAACAGACCAGAAGGATTGTACTCAGGCATCATATGTAAGGTGATATTTTACGGTGCAAACTGCCTTTCATCGTTTAGATTTAGTAGTAAGGTGATATTTTACGATGCAGTCTGTCTGGTTTCATGCCTTAGCTGTAAACACAGACCATACTATGCATGCGAATAGGAGTGGGAATTGTCAGTACAGCCTCCTATCCACCATGTATTTGAAAGGAAATGTAACTAATTTGCAAGAAACTCAGCTTATTTCGTTGGTTGAGCAAGTGCCTTTTTTTTAAAGCAAAATTTTCCCGCATGGCGCTGTCTCGTGGTGGACGAATGTCATCGTTGCCCGGTGGTTTCGAAATGACGAAACTGCTCAGTGCCACCGAAATAGCGAACAATTTGAACGAATTATTCCCCGAAATTCATTGCACCCCAGCTGATATCCAAAAACCAACGGTAAACACTTCGAGTTTTCACAGAATTTGGACAACAAAATTTTGAAAATGGGAAATTTGATAATTTCGTAAATTTATACAATTTGAGCCTTGCCCCTCGGATTTGCCGATGTGTTCAGCTAAAAGAAACGGTAACAATTTGTGCTTTCGAAGGGGGACGATAAAAAATAAAAAAATTTTTGAAGTGAAAAATTTGATAATTTTTTAATTTTGATAATTTTTTTCCGAATTTTTTTCGAAATTTTTTTCGATTTTTTTTCTCGAAATAATTTTTTCGAAAAATTTAATAATTTTTGTTCCAAACAAAAAGGAAAAGAAGCGCATTCAGAAGCAAATAATCTGTTTCAGTGTGATGTAGTATGCGAGATATATTGGTACATCACCCGGCAGATCATGGATATTCCGGATACTGCGTACACGATGCTGCCGTTTACGTTTCATAGCGAATTCGGTAACGAACTATTCCAAAAAGCGTGGCTAAAAATGGTTGTTTTTGAAGCGATGTAAGTTTTTGGATAAAAATAAATTTGTTTTAGATATTTTAAAATTTATATTTTAAAAAATAAGTTTATTTTAAAAATAAATTTATCTTTTTGGTTAAATGTCCGTTTGTTGTAATTGTCTGCAGGAGATGATCGTACTTGTTGGAGCAAACTGTAATAGAAAATTATAATAGGAAGGAATGGAAGAAAGGGGGGAAAAAGAAGATTAAAAATGAAAATTAGAAAATTTGTAAGATTACTGTAATTGGTAAAAAGTGTTTCGGTCCATTAAGTCGTATACATTTCTTACCAGTTACCACAATTGGACTTCGTCAGTACGACAACGATGGTGGTAATTCCGAAGTTAGTCGAAGTTAAGAATAAATTATTCGTGACAATTAGTTGAATTATACTTTTAGCCAAAAAAAGAGGAAAATCCTTCGTTTAGGTGATACCTTGGATGCTGGTACGTATTCAGAAAACCAAAAAAAAAAAAAGAAAAAATTGCTATAGTCGACTTTTGAGCTGAAAAGTGGATGATTTTTCAAGCTGTGCACTTCTCCTGGCTGATTCAAAATGCGTCCATCATCTCTTGTACGGGCTGAAGGTTTTTGTGGAGGAAGATTTTAAGCCTTGTATTTTGCTTCGGGTTTTTTTTTGATCAGTTTTTTTCAGATCGGCAGTTGTGGAAGATATTTCATCAGATGAGACGCAGTTCACGTTGCTGGATATGATTGCACCGAGAGCCGATACCACTCGAATTTTCCTTTCAATGCTTATCAATTTCATTCATTTTTCATCTGCCATAACGAAGGTTTTGCGCCAAAACACACTTTTTTTGCTAATAGTAACGGAATTATAAATATGCATAAATGGTAATGGTATGGATCTTAAAGAAATAACGGTGATAAAAATTAATAATAAGGGTAATAATAATGGTAATTGCAATGATAATGATAGCAATAATAATGGTGATAATAATAGTAAAAATAATAGAAACAATAACAGTAGTAATGATAATGGTAATAATCATATTAATGACAGTAATAGTAATAATAACAGTGATAATAACAGTAGTAATAATTATAGTGATAATAACAGTAATAATAGTA